GGAGAGGATGAAGAAGAACCTGGACCAGACTGTCAAGGATCTGCAGCACCGTCTGGATGAGGCAGAGCAGCTGGCACTGAAAGGAGGGAAAAAGCAGCTCCAGAAACTGGAACACAGGGTATGTAACCCTTATACATGCACAAATGTATTTAATTCTATTATTTAAGTTGAGGTGCTAAGTATTAATCTTTTGCTTTCAGGTGCGTGAGTTGGAAGCTGAAGTTGACAATGAACAGAAGCGCAGTGCTGACGCTATCAAGGGTGTTCGTAAATATGAAAGGCGGGTAAAGGAACTGACCTACCAGGTAAGGATAGAGATTTCTGTATATCTTCTTGAAAATGTAAGCATTCCTGCATGAGATTGGAAAAGCACATGTACTCATATTAATCTGTATTTTTATCTGCTTTGGCTTCACCACTATTCCTATGGTAGAATAACCCAAATCCTACCCAGCAAAGAATGTTGTTGATAAAATGCTTGGCCCCCAAACATTGGTCTGCATTTCTCTGTGATCAAGCACCTTTTACTCACATATTGTTCTGGATTGTTTAGCTGTCTTTTCATTTTTTCTCAAGAGACTCAAACTAAAGTCTAAAATCGAAATGAGTAACCAGATTTGAATGATAGAAACTGACTTTCTTCCCTCAATGTTCTACCTTTGTTAAGTCTGAGGAAGACCGGAAGAACGTGCTGAGGCTTCAGGACCTGGTGGACAAACTGCAAGTGAAAGTGAAAGCATACAAGCGACAATCTGAGGAGGCTGTAAGTATTCTGAATTTGGTGTAGTTTGTACTTGAATGATGAGTGTTATACAAAGAGCAAAGCTTTGCTCTGATCAATAATCACTGAACAAACTAATTCTCAAATGGTAAAACGAATTTGCGTTCCATAAAGCATAGAAACACATGAAGTTCAGCCAAGCTTACGTGAGACACACTCTCAGCAGTATAGATTCTGCCATCAGTTAGATGAAGGACAATTTTCACAGGGTCAGACTGCAGAATAGCTGTTCAGCATTTTAAAGATTAACAATCCTTCTGAAGTGCTGTGTAAAGAACAGCAAAACAGTAATGGACCCTTTATTTGTATACCACTTTCCCAAATATATTACAGTTTGTAACAAGTTCTGTGCAGTTGAATAGTGCAGAAAAGTCACTGCCATTTTCATCATAATTTTTAATGGGTGAGTTCCATGGCTGAGTGGGGACTAGAAACCACACAACCCAAGTCTCAGTCCTGCTTCCTTAATCACTCCACCACAATGGCTCACACTAACATGCATTTCCATCTGCAAATAATTCAAATGAAACTGCACATGCTGTCCACAGTGTGCAAGAAGATGCACTGGACACCTTATGACTAATTATGCATCAAAATGCAGGTGTCTGTCTGCATTCAGGCTTCACATGTGGTTTTGGAATCAACAAGGCTGTGGAAACTCACATAGCATGGTAATGCCTCTTGGGCAACCTCATGTTTGCTACAAATGTAGCCATAGTCTCAGATAAATCTGCTTTGGAATATGACTATGTCTTTTCTCATGGCTGTGGAATCTTTGGGACACACGATTTACATCCAGACTACAGCGGGTACACCATCAGCCATTTTGAAATACTTTGCGTTGTAATATAGTAAAAATTTAATCAAACTCCTCTAAAGAACATGAGATACATAAAGCGGTAGAATTTTTTTCATGAATTCACACACACACTTTTCATAAACACTGAGGGTTTGCTAAAGATGGATGAAATTTCTTCTATGAGAACCTCTTAAATAAAAAAGTCTGTGATGTTTCAAATTTTCAGTTGCTGCCTTTTCTTTTCATATCAGTCTGAGCCAAAGCACACAGATATGATTGCCTATGACATATTCCAAAGACACACTGAAGGCAAATTTTAACTTGTGTGATTTCGTCTTTAGAGCAGTCCTTATGAAAAAAAATTGTCCTTTGCAGTTTCACATATATGAAAGTTTCTTCAGCTGGCATGCACATGTGCATGGGTCATCCTAGGCAACTGACAGAAAGTGACCAAAGAAGAACTCATTCTTCCTGTTTCTGTAGATGAGGCAGGCGAGCTGCATAAATTAAACTTCATCTGCAAGCACCCAAATCTGAATGGGACATGGTTTTTAATACATGCAGATCTTGTGATTCTACACTGTTACTTACAATAGGTTTTATTTATCACAATACATGCTGTTGTGAAGATCTGAGGGCTGAATACCCCCATGGACTAGCCAGAGGTCCCTCTGAACAAGCTGGGGCTATCCTCTCCTCTTTAATGTTACAGGATTCTTCACATGCAGTTTGAGCTTTCTTTGCATTTCAGATATAGTCCTGGAAGAATGAGGATAGCCTCCTTGTCCAGTTTGCTGAAAATTAGACATGATACTGGCTGAACAGTAGGAAGGACTCAGCCATATAATATTCATATCTGCCTGTCTGTTAACAGGAGGAGCAATCCAATGTGAATCTTTCCAAGTTCCGCAAGATTCAGCATGAGCTGGAAGAGGCCGAGGAGCGGGCTGACATTGCTGAGTCCCAGGTTAACAAACTCAGGGTGAAGACTCGGGAAGTGCATAAGAAGGTTGTAAGTGAAGAATGAGGTCCCCTAAAAACTACAAAGTGACTGCAGAGAAGCGCAAAATGTGAAGCTCTTTGTCACTTCCTGTAACTATTTATTTGGTCTTTCATATTTGGAAAATAAAAATTGCAGATTCCTTAGCAAACTGATAGAGTGGCTTTTGTGTTGTACTTCAGCTATCTCGTGTCCCTACTTTTTGTATTGTTTAATTCTGTCCTTTGAAAAATGAACTTCCTAATACATTTGGGAGAAAGAAACACATGCTTCAAAACACATTACTCTTCAGTCTTATTATAGAAGCAAATTAGATTAATTCATTCAAAGATGAAAGCTTAATTATAGAGTTAATACTTCTTTACTTCTAATCATGAACATAATTTAGGGTGGCTGCCAAGGTTGATATTTTGTTCCTTGCCACACCACACACCATATTTCCTTACATATCAGGTTAGAATGGCATAAGGGCAGAAAGGCTAGATTTGCATAGCACAGCAACCCATTGTGGGCAGCTAGCCATAGCAGGTTATCTTGTTACCTGAACCCAGGCCAGTTTCTTCTGGATCATTTGATTTTAGAGAACAAGTCACTTTCACAATTTATGGCTTGTTCTATGGATGTTTATGCCCACAACAGATTGTCATGTCATCCAAACCTGAAAGAGAACTGTGCCAGAACTGTAACTACAGAGACACTTCTCAAGAACAACAAACCCCCCTGCTATGCACTGCGATCTTGTGCATGCTGTCTCCAGCAGGCTTCACCAGTGAATGCCCCTCACTGATTCCCTAACGTTACTTTGGAGGGACTGTCACTTGTGTGCTACCCACTTTTCCCTTTCCCAGAAAACTGCAAAATCTTTATATTGTTGTTGGTGGTGGTCTTTTCCCAGCATGCATTGACAGATGTCCAATAGTCTTGGTTTATAAGTTTCAGCCTTTAAAGGGAATGAAGGCCAGAGGTAACATGCAGAAACTGACAAGGCAATACTTCATATAGGCACATTTGTGCATTCCTTCCTCCCCTTCAGAACTTCCTTGCTCTCAGATTCTGAAAGCAGTAGCTGAATGGGCAGAGATATTGAGGAAGATGGCTGTAATAATCAGTATTATTACTGTGGGAACAAGGGTCTATTTACTGTGGGTGTATGTGTAATTACCACACATTTGTTTTTTCATTTTTAAATGCTATTTCACTGTGCTATGCAAATGAGAATTTTAAACATTACTTTCATTATTAATATTATTATTTGAGGGAGATTTGTAAAAACGTAGCTCTCTTTTTTCACTTTTGGGGAAATTAGTGCAAATATGCAATAATATTATTGCATATAATAATATTATTGCATAGTATTATAATATATACTATAGTATAATTATAATATTATAGTATATATTACCATATAGTAACTGTATAAAAATTAAATAAGCACACCTCCCCCATAAGTGAAAAAATATTAAATATGTGCAAATCTCCCTGAAGGGGAGCAAAAAGTTCTGTAAATAAAACCTCTATGCCACTACAGAGGTCCCTCTTTGAAAGAGTAAATTACTGAGGTTATGCCAGAAAAGTTCATAGGATCTGTGCCAAAAGCAGGTGGGAGAACGAAGGGTAAAATAAGCCAAGCCAATCTAGGCCACAGAGGACCTGATCTGACTTTGGGGAGTGGCATAGGTTAGTAATCATTCAACCAACCCACTGTGGCTTTTTTCCCCATAGTGGCTTGTGACAATCCTTGCCCACCATTTCTTTGCCTCCCTAGGCCACTGTTGCATCAGCATTTGAGCTATTTATGGTTATCTGTTGTTGAAAGTTATTGCACAAAACAGGAGAAATGCTGTGTTGAGACAGCACCTGCCCAGTTCAGGTATGATTGCCAGTCATGGAGGCTTATATAAGCCCCTGTAATTTGTGGCATCTGTTAGGCACCCATTCTGTAACCTAATGCTTCCTTGTAATTAACCTGGTGAGGTGAACTTTTGGTGTGGCTAACAAACCAACCAGAACCCATGGGCTATTTCAGAATTGGAATTAGCCTGTCCAGCTTCAGGCAAAATCACAACCTGCAAGGTAAAGAAGTGCTATGAAATGGGCACCTGGTCTGTGTACAAACCACTGTGGCATATATAAACTAGCATATATAAACTAGGCTCAGATGATCATTCCAATGATCATCTGAGTCTAGTCTCAGCTTCTGATCCAGCCCCCTGCTCCTGCCATTTCGCTTCCCCTTCCAATTTCAGGGCTCTGTACGTAGACCAGGGGCATCCACTGGGGAACTTCTGCCCATTCAACCCCCCTCCAGCCAACAGATCAGCAAACTTTAATTGTGCTGTAGTTACTCTTTAATCTTTAGAACTGCCTCCCTCAGACTGGTGCCCTCCACCTCATTGGAACATGCCCTTTTTCCACATAATCAAAAATGTAAAGCTCTGCCTTGGAATTTATTTATTTATTTATTTTTCAATTTATATCTTGCCTTTTTCCTACAAAGGGCTCAAGGCAGCTTACATCATTCTCCTCCTCCATCTTATCCCAACAACAACCCTGTGAGGTAGGTTGGGCTAAGAGTCTGTGACTGATCCAAAGTTGGAGTTGGCATTGGCTCCATGGCTGAGCGGGGACTAGAACCCAGATCGTCTGAGTCCCAGTCCCATGCTCTTAACCACTAATTGATGGGAGACAAATGAATAGATGCAAGTCAAAACCAGAATATCTTAGGCAATTTAGGCTTTCTGTAGATAAGCTAAAGTGCTATTAGCCCTACCCAGGGAAGTCCTGAAAAAGCATTTGCTGTTCTACTGACTTATACCAGCTGAGTTCCTGATCCTCAGCCTTTAAATTCTTAGAACATCAAGCACATCTGAAAGATAGGTTTGTGCCAAGCTTGAAATTTGACCTCCCAAAGTCTCACTAAGGCCCCATCACTCACATTTATAGTCACTGTGCCCAAAGAAGCAGCTACTAAAAAAACAAAAACAAAACTGAGAATTCTCAGACCTCTTGTTTGCCCTTGTAAACAAAATACTGATGTGGTAAGCACTTCAACCAAAAGTAATAAAGAAAGTAGGTGCAAAACTAAGAAAACACAATGTTGGACTGTTCCTAGGGATTGTGATGTAATGTTTTGCTGTTCAGAAACAACATAGAAAAGGAGCAGCGAGAAATATAAGCAATGATACATCTAGGCACAGCCCTATCAATTGCAGTCTTGCTGCTTGGGACCCTCTGAAATTAGATACTTCTGAGATTTTATGCTCTGTTGTGTTGAACCTGACAGGGCATGAGAAGCAGTGGAACTGATCATTGCCTGCCTGTTCTCCACCACTGGCAATTTTCCCTAGATGGGCTTTTCGGCCTGCCTAGTGAGTGTGTTTTGGCAGTGAGGAAAGAAGGCTGGAGGAGGCTCAGATATCTCAAATCATCACCTCTCCAGCCTCTCTCCCGCCCCTCAGAATGCTCCCTTTCCTCCTTCACCTCCTCTGAGCTCACTTTTCAGACCTCACAGGTCAGCCAGTACAGGTCTTTCTACCCTCCCCTTTCTGAGGATGCGGAGGGTGTAGATCTCTAACTCCCCCTTCTGAGGTCAGAGCACAGTCTCTTCCTTTGGAAGGGATTTTAGACATTAGATTGTACAAAGGCAATCGAACGGGGGCATACTTCCATTTTTTCCTAATAATACTTAAATGCATTTATTCATCAGTCTACCTTCTCTAATTCTGACACAAACCTCCTGATAGAGAAACTTCAGGTTTATGGAAGACAATATTTGGGTCCCATTCTATTACCAAAAGCTACAGTTTTACCTATTGCCTTTTCATAAAGCCTTTAACATGGAGCTTTGGTGGTTTCCTGGTGTTCGTCTGATTTCTTCCCCCATTCTAAAAGATTGAAAGCCTTTCTTAATGCTTTGTTACTGGCAAGAAGAGCTTTAAGTTAAGATATACTGCTATTTTTGGTATTTTAGGTACTGTCCCTTTTTCTTTTTACTCACCCCATTTGCTTCCAGCCACCCTTGCCACTGGAATGTCATCCTTGAAAACATCTCCAAAATGGAATTAGGACCTTGGTTTGAAAAAGGAGGTTCTCCATCCCTGGATTATATAATAGTATTCCATCCCAATGTTGCACCACTGTGGCCTGGCATATCATCTATTCATTTACACAGCAGTAAGCACACAGCAGTAGTGCAAGCACTAGACCAAAAGCCTTACCTATGTAAATCATGGTATACCTTCAGTTTTCTGCTCAAAACAATAAGCTTTGCAGCAAGCACTAGTGAGACTGCTCTCAGAAATCCTCAGATTTCTCCTGTGCAAATTTTGATCTTGAATTTATCCCCAGATGTTCATTATATCTAACATTCTATGACCAGTTGTCAAATAAGAGTCCTCTGATCAAGCAGTCAGTGGGTGATGTTGAATCTTATTTTTAAAACTGGCCCCACCCATGCCTTCGTTTCGGACCGCACAGAGTTGCTGCAGGGAAAGTGTCCTGTCTACGCCTGGTCCTGAAGGAGAAGCTGAGGTCAAACAGAGTGGAATAGTCTGAGAGCAGATGTGGTTCCATGAGCAATGCAGAGCCGGGATCCAGAGGTCAAAAACACAGGCCTTTTTTCAAGGCAGGAAACCAGTCATGCAGAGATAAAGATCTGTGGCAGAGGACAGACCAGACCTGAAGACTTATGTAGCCTGGGCTTCCAGAACTTCCCCCGGACTCAGAGAAGTGGTGTTAGCACTTGGCCTACTAATGCTGGAGCCTGAAATCTTTCATTTTGACACCTGGATCTCTAGGAGGCATCTGCTCTACCACACTGAATGTACTGAAATAAAGCTACAGGGGCCCAGATGATCTCTGTTGCCTCAGATCCCCCAGATTAGTTGCCTTTTGGTCTACATGTGCTCCATCTCCTGCAGTCTTTGACCTTGAATCTTTCTGCTTTGGAGTTTTTTTTCCTCTTGAAAACAAATGCTCTCCTCTCCAGTCCATACATACCCTCACAGACTTTAGAAC